CAGTGCTACATAATTACTTTGCTTTTTCCTCTCATTTCAGTATCAACAAACATCTGCCTACACATTAATTCAGAAAATATTAATTAAAAACTGGAAAAAATTGGAGCCTAGCACAGAGATTTAAAATGCTGTCTCTGATCATATATTTGACATCAAGTCCCATTTAATCCAAGTAGTTTTTTGCTAGGAAATAGCACACATATGCTGTCAAATGATTTTCAGTACAAAAGATACACAGATAAAATAGTTGAACTGAGAAGGTCTGAAGACTCCTAGGCATCAGCAGGGAAGGCACTTTTCCGGTCATATAATTCTAGCACATTCGGATTCAGCGCAGCTTTGGTATTTCAACATCTCCTTCAGTTCCTATGCAAGTGATATCCACTGACTGCCCAGTCCTGAACTTCTCCACTTGCAAATAACGCAAAGAAAATTGCTCCAAATAGATTAATAGAAGCAGCAATATAGAAAACAGTCTGCCATTCTCCCACAGTATTCTGCCAAAAGTATGAAAGAAAAAAAAAAAATGCAGTCAATTTGCAGCTACACACTCAAGAAAAAGTAACTTTAAAACCAATGCTACATGCGTTACTTATTTAAATGTAATTGCTATTCAGCATGATTTCATAGCAACATAAAAGCATTATAAACATAAAAGATCAAAGCATAAGTATAGTCAACTTCAGTTTAATAATACAGCTTACACCAATAGTCCTATCGGATAGCATCAGACTATCTGGATCAGTTTATCATCTGAGATGCAGAACCTTCATATCAAAATTCCCAGTAGCACGAAGGCTACACAAACTCGCAGAGAATTTTACTGTAATAGGAAACAGTTCCACCTCTGGTGAGGTGATCCAAGAGCTGAAGTGCTCTGCACTATGCAGTAAGCTATTCTTAATGACTACTCTGTGGATATTCCAGAATCACAAGCCTTTTAACCCAAACAAGGTAGCTATCTTTACTTAGATTCCAAGAGGAATCCTCTAAACTCTGGTGTTTAAGAAAGGTCTTAAGACATGTGTAACAAAGAACAGTTGTTTGTTTGGTTTTGGGGTTTTTTTTTCTTCTTTTATTTTAAATAAAGAAGTAATATATGTAGCTGTCTTGAGGCTTTTTTTTTTCTCTTTTCTTTTTTTAGTTTCAGATGACTACTGTAACAAACCTGTAAACTATCTTGCTACAAAAAAAGAATAATACGAGAACAGTGCACTGGTATAGGGAAAATAAACCAAACCCAATAAAAACAATCTGACCTGTTAAGACATCTGGAAGAACTAATTTGTTTGGACTCATGTATTAATGAATATTTTCATATTATTTTTAAGGAAATCATTGGAGTGATCACCAACTCCAAAAATTCAACTGCATCAATAAACTTACTCTTCCCATATTTCTTTCTTAAAAGAATTTAGAATAATTCATATAGTTGATTATAAAAAAAAAAAATCAAACAAATCCTCACTTCCTTTTTCTATTGCAAATCAACCTTTGACTAAACCATCTTGTAAGTCAAATCTAACACTGTTCAAGTTAGGTGTCTTGTGAAACTAACAAGGCTTACAGTGTGCTAATCCTGTAATGTACATACAAAGGGATGCATTATAAAAACCACACATCTGAATCCAGTTTCTCACTCATCTGACAAATGCTGACCTTACAACTCAACACCTCGTGTGAGAGACTGATTTAAAAAACAAAACAAAAATAACCAAACAAGTAAGAACTTGTCTTAATTTGCTAAAATAATATCACAACTATCTCATCTAGTTGGCATTTTAATAGAGTTTTACTGTGACAAACACATATTATTACTCCTAGAGAATAAGAGGGGTGGGTGACTAAAACTTTTAAGTCCTACACAGGTCTTCAATTTTACCTTTATTTTCCTGATCAGAATAATAAAGGCTATGTATTAAGTCATTCACAGAAATGGAACAGTACGATTTACATGTATAACCGAGATTTCATTTAATGACTGCAGACTTGAGAAAACAGAATTTCCATTCAATGGAGATAAAAATATAACAACTGAAAAAACAGTAAGCAGACTTACGTTATGAGTGAGGTTCTTTGCAATAACTGGCCCCACCATTCCTGGGATAGTAGCAAAAGAATTTGTGATCCCAAGGAGAATTCCAGCATACCTGCAATAGAAATTGTTAATGTTGCTTATTAACTTACCATGATTGTCAGTCATGGAAACAATTTTGCCTAACCTGATCCCATAGGTCTCATCTTGATCACATAGACAAATTCAAACACAAACATTCCAGTAGGAATGGCTTGCTTTTATTCCAGTAACAACTCACTGACAACTTGGTAAATATGTCTCTATTTTCCAGAAGCTAGTTATGGAATCGAGCTGAAATTGCTCATGGATCCATAATCCATACCCATATCCCCTTTGCTAAGCCACAACCAAACTGTCTGGAATGGATCCATCGGGTAAGTTAGAAAAGAACCACTGCATGCCTTGAAGTGGAAAGATGACCAGGAGTATGACAGTGCTGCTTGGCAACAGTAAGAGTTGGTTCAGGTATCATTGCTAAACAGTGTCTGCCAAGAAGGCAGTATCACCAGCGTGGATGGATCTCCCCACTTACACTACAGAGTGGATGTTCCAGAGGCCTGAGTTCAGAGCGCTGCAGCAGTCCTCCCCTGCAGCTTTCTGTGGGTCAAGGCCAAGGGGAAATGTGTCTGACTTAACCAGTTTCACTGGTTGCCATTCCTGCAGCTCACTTCTGAGGCTTCCTGTTCCATGAACATGTTACTCTATCACATGCGTACGCACCAGCGGCCATAAAAAGTTGCTGGGAAAAGCTGGTAACTTGCTTAATATCTGAGCCTCAGTACCTCATCTCTAGACAAGTAAAGATCTCTCTCACAGGAGTTTCACAATGCTGAAAAATCATGTTTGAAACTGTACCACAAGCGCAATCTTGTGCGAGAGACTGAAGAGAAATAAGAGCTAGACATTCTACAGTGGTGCTGGAGCTTCCAGCCACCAGAGCATGGATCCCTGCAGCTCAGAGTTTCAAGGTGGATTTGCTGGCTGAAAAATCGTACAAAATACTAACAGAGTTGCAGTTTAGCACAGGAGAAGAGCGTTGTCTCCCAGTGCTCATTTTAGGCTGTTTTGCAGAGTGAAATTATGTCCTCACCGATTTTAACGGAACAGAAATATAATTTCATCTCAAAAGAGAGATGCATAGCTTTGACATTTTATTTACCAAAACAGGAGAATTCAACCATACAGCATTGTTACAAAAGGTTTCAATATGTGTATCCAGTCCAACGATATTAGAGAAACGAGTTTTTTCCTGAGAGAGAGAATTAATTATCTAGCCTACTAATTGATTTTTTTCTTGAAAGTCAACGCTACATATCAGTTTAAAGCATGGCAATGTATTTTAGACTGAGCTCCAATGCCTTAATTAAATCGATCCTTATTTCTTATAAAAGTGGCACATAGTCTTATAATCTCAGAAGGTGTTTAAGAATTAATAGGCCTTTCTGAAGCTGAATGTGAAAGTGTAAAACTTTCCCTTAGCCAGATAAGTACATAGAGCAAAACTCCATTTAAAGCCTTGAAGTAGAACCAAATGCATTTTGTCTTCAACATGTTTAAACGCTACAATACTGCTAGCACACACTTTCAAAATTAAACACAGCTTAATAGTTTCCCTGGTTGCCAAAGGTCTGTGGCAATAAATAGCTGGCTAAATATCTCCAGTTATGCCCAGTGTTTCTGACATAAGTTGCATTCTTGATAACGCTCACTGTTTGATGCAGATAACTGCTATGCCACTCCCTCAGCACAGTAGACACTCCCATACGAAATGGGAAAGCAAAGAGCGACATGTTTGTAGAGCAAGACTAATAGTAAGCTGTTGGTCAGGTTCTTGTGGCATAGTGGGGATAACCAAATACAAATCAACTTGCAGAGCAGTTAAGTAGTAAAATTAAGAGTGAAAAAAACAGATGTGTGAAGTGTTTAGCGTATAGCAGAGCCATAGAATATTATGAGGGCTCATGGTAACAGCAATACTAAAAATGGTAGACGTTGCAACATATTGATGTAGATTTAAAGAGCTAGAACAGAATACATTTTCCCCACAAGAACAATCTTGTCTCCCTCCCATCCCCAAACCCCCCTAATTCAATACACTGATGGCATAATAAACACATGCTAGAAAACACATAGTAAATACTGTTTTTTCATTCAGTATCAGTATTTTCATTCACTTTTTCCTGTGAATTTAATCATTATTTCTTTTCTATAATGGAAGTTTTAGTAGCAACAAGGGACCCTTTGCTATGCTAGTCAGCATACTTTTAACCAATTAAAATGGGCATTTAAGTGCACTCTGAATCTGCTTTGAATCACTTCTGGTTACTCTAATATCTTTCAGTAAAATTAAAAAAAAAAAAAAAAATCGAGCTCTGGGTAAACTCTTAACAGAGGTTTCCTTCACAGTTTTACGCAGACCCCATTTTCAGATTTCTACAGTTACGTCAAGCATTTCCTTGAAATTGTGAATGTCTGTCTTGGCCATTTCATCCAACAAAGTTAAGTAGAAAGAAGCCTTTTTCCCCCCTGTCTTAGATGTATTTGTATTTCTGTATTAGAAGAACTTTTTTGTTTTTTGTATATGACCTTTGTTACATGGATGTGCCCTTTTCCTTCTCCGTCTCCATTTGGACAGATTTACCCTGAATTACAGCATGCATGTGCTGAATAGAGAATCACCGATTTCAACAAAACAGCATCCACCCTGACCACGTTCCCATCCAGGAAACTTTTCCCGCATATGCAACCATTCGTCTCTAGAGACAACGCCGGGCCAAAGTTCCTGAACTATCAGCAAGATAGCTGCCTCTCCTGCACTTACAACCAGTATGCTCCCTTCAGCCTGTCTGAGGGAAAAGAACGGCTGGAGGAACCTTCACAGCTTAAATGCAAAAGGAATAAAAGCAGGACTTAGTCGAGGGCAGGAAGAATAGAGCGGGATTTGGTCAGAGGGATCAGCAGCAGTTCATGTGGTGAATCTAATCATGCCTGCTGACATGTATCAGCGTTGTGCCACATGATCTTTTTCTTGCGGCTTTTTTCCACACCTAAAATACTCTGTATACTGTCATATACAAATTCACCCTTTAAATAAACACATTAGAAATGCAAAGTGAAGCATCTCTCAAATTTGAAAATACACTCAAGATCCTAGTTCTGGAAACCTCAGCCGTCACCTGCATACGCAGGTTCCTTGCGCATGTACCTCACACAGGCATACACTGCAGTTGCGCAATTTCCTTTTTCCTGTGACAGCTCTGTTGCACTCACTGGACAGGATGAAGTGTTCCATTTAATGCTTAATGAGCACTATTTAATATTTTGTTTCACTTTACTTGCTCAATGCATGGACCCAAGACTTACTTTCTGCATACAATTCGGCTGTTGCAAGTAGAATTTTAATAATCCCAAACAGTAGAACTTTACACAATAATAGTTTACTTTCACAACACTCTTGAGAGCTGGAGATGATACTTTTAAATCTATCTTATAGATAGGAAACAAAAACATAGGCCAAGAATGTATGCGTCTACTGGATGCTTGATTTGAGATCCTCAGGATCTCATCTTTAGAGTATTTAACTGTGTTCATATATTCAAAGCACAGCTCCAGTGACTTCTGTCTGCATTCCAAGTAACACCATTTTCGCAAACCAGAACTTAACAGTTTGAAGAGGCATACAAAAACAGGCAATAAATCAGCTAGGCCTCAATTAATCTCACTGGATCAAACTTTAGCTTCTCAGTTGAGTTGTTTAAGGTTGGACTCCAGCTGCTGCACACTCCCTTTACATATTATGGTAGTCTGACCCAGCCTCAAGAAGTCCCTGTCTCTCTTTGTAACTAAAGAATTCTTAAAGAGTTCAGATTCCTAAAGCCAGAGGGTGTGAACCTGGTCCTCACAGATGACTGCACTAGACTCTGATCCAACCTGACTTAACACATGCAAACTCTATGACAGAACACTGAAAGAACTGAATTCCCAAGAGCGATATTCACCTACTTTAAACATCACCCTTCTTTTCTCTTGCAATGCCCTGCCTCAGCCATTATGTGCTCTCCAGCTACCACAGCTACAAGGTACAGGGTTTAGGAATGAATGCCAGTCTCCCTTTCTATACAACGCTCAGTCATTTCTAGAGCATGGTATTTCCTGTGCACTGAGTGAAGAAAAGGTCCTGTGTGCAGGGCGATATTACAACAATGACAGAAAGACTAATTTGTGATGCACAGAGAAAAGGAGGTAAATAGAAACTGCACAGATATCCAAGTTCTGCCACTAAGTAACTTACAGGAGTAATGTCTTTTGACATTACTGCTTATGTTTTGTATTATTCAACACAGAAATCTAAAATAAATAACTCCAACTCCTAGCCAATGTTTTACATTTTTAGAAAACTAACTATTGTAGTTCTGCAAAGCTAAGCTTGAAACAGTAGTTGTATAACAGCCCCATAATACCCGAAATGCACTGCTTCAACTACAGCTTCTAAATTTGTAATTCTACTCGATTTAAAACAGGGTGCATCACAGAAGCTATTATTCTTAGTTTCATATTCAATTCATAGTACAAGCTGTTTATAGCTGGCCACTGACTCCTTCCCTCTTGCTTGCTAACTAATCTCTATTTGCAAATACAGTGCTTAAAATCAGAAACCTGAGTCACTGTCAGTGCTTATATTCCAGGTCTGTACAGCATGTGGTCCACAGCTAACTCTCCTAGGCATTCCAGCAACACAATAAAAAAAAAAAAAGTGCTCACAAATGTATCATGTACACTAACAATAGCTTCAGCAATACTTACGAAGGTGCTATGTCCAAATGGTTGATGCTGTAGCCAGAGGTACAAAACCCTCCTAGTGTTGTTGATATGGTCACGAATGCAACAGCCAGTGCATAATTGCAGCCTATGAATCCAGCTGCTACTAAGAACACCGCAGGTCCAATCATTCCTTGAAGACAGAAATCTTAGAATGAATAGAGTTTTGACATGAGAGACATTAAGAGGCTCTAAGCTATGTATACATTTTCTACACAACTTCGACCACCACCTGGTGTACAGAATCCAGCACTGCACTACATGCATTACAGTGGGCCTGCAAGGAAGAGCAAATTGGTTGCAAACCTGTTGCTGTCTCATGAAATGGTAGTCAGAACAGAAAAATGTCACTCTAGCTGCAAAGAACAAACTTCAACTAGATAAAAGAATTAACGAAAGGCAACAGATACTGAAAGTGACTTCACAAATTAATTTTATTTATTGTTATACAAGTTATAGGAGCCGCACTGACATCGGCATGTGTACAGTGCGCTACAAAGAAATTATCCCCATTTAACTCTCCAGGTTTCAGGAACAAACACTAACTTCTGCAGATCATAATAAAGTAGACCTGGAAGCGTTCACACAAATACATACATACATATATGCACATACTTTTCCTGCAGGCACCTTCTAGAATGAGTTTTATTCCACATTTACAAGATCTGAACATCTGGCATATCTATACTGGAGCTTGCTGTACAATTTAGAGAATGCAAACTACGTCAGGTACTGGAAACAGCTTAGTAGCCATCGTGAGCTAGTTAGTGTCTGCAGCCAACTTCGGTACCCATTTCCCAGTACCAGAGCCCATTTACATGACCCCATCACGATCTCTCTGAACAGCTCCAGGCAATGCTTTTGTTGATGAAGCCAACCTAACAGTCCTGCTTTTCCTAACACAGTTGTACACACTTGGGTGCAAGGCCCTGCAGTAAACTGGATCACCAAAATGATATAGGCTTAAAAAAAAAATAAAAAAAACTGACAGTTTATTATAAGAGCTGGTTTAAGGAAAGCGACTGAATCAGCAGAATTGAGAAGGCAGCAAGGATGGGCATACATTCAGCAGGCTGCAACTTGTATGGATCCTGTGCCTAATCTCTTTTTCTTTTCCTTCTTTCCCCTGCCCCCTCTTTTAATCAGCAATCAACTTCTTCCTAAACACAGCCTTTTACCTGTATTGGTTAAAAACACAATCTTGTTGATCTCTTTGTGATTGCAGATCATCTCTCCTCCCAGTTAGTCAAGATCATTTTGGATTCTGTTTGGTCTTCCTACCCTGGTAGCAACTATAAATTTGTAAAAAGTGTATTCCTATTCAGTTACTTAAGTCTTAAATAAAGGAAACACTGAACAACAGAAGGCTGGGAATAGGCTCACCGCCACATCTCAATTAGAAAGCCATTCACAAGGTATCATTTCGTCAATCAGTTATCACAGTTATCACCACTTTAATGGTGATTCTACCTAGCCATTTATTTAATCAGTTTGCCTGAAGGAATGATGTATGTTGACCTAAACAAAGCTTTTGGCAATCTCTTATTGTTCTCTTATCCAATAGGCCTACTTTTTTTATGGAAGAAGATAGGATGTACTTTTAACAAATTAATGTACAAATAAAGCTTCTCCTCTCCAGCCATGCACAATCCTGCCTGATCTCACAGCAGAATGTCACACTACTCTCCAAAACTCTTTATTTTTCCCAGACTGATACTACTATGTTCCAAACAGAGATGATACTTGCACTTACCTATTACGGTAAAACACTTGCGAACACAAACAGTGGAAAATTTCTGTTTTTCCCGTAAATAATCAGCAATTTGCCCAGATAGAATTATACATAACCAGCAGCCAAAATAAGGTAGGGCAGATAAAAACCCATTCTGTTAAGGAGATAAAAAAAAAAGACAGTTAAAACACTGAAATGACTATTCTATATGCTGAAAAATCACTCGTGCTGAAGCATTAACAGACTGAACCAGAGGTGTCAAAACCATCCATCCAGATAACTATTGTTGGTATAAGAGAGAAACCTAGAGATAGAAAAAGCAAAGCATTTTAAAGTTACCAATGTGTAAACTCTCCATTGTATCACTTAATCTGTAACTACTAATGCAGCCAGACAAAAAACCCCAAGTTTTAAATCAGCAACTGGGTTTAGGAAAAAGAAAAATATATATGAAGGTATCTTGCAGACATTAACCTGATCATGCAAGTTTCCAGAAACACCAATTTCGAGTAAGACAGGATACCAAGTGAGTTACTAAGGTAAGCGGAGGCCGTAAAAATCCTTCAGAATTTTGAAAGCTATATGGAATTTCAGGGGTTTGTACTACTATAACTCTTCAACATCACATTATCCTGTATCTATCTGCTGAAACATCTGATGCTGGCTGTAATCACAGACAAGATACAGAACTGGGAGTTTCATCAAATCCAGGCTGGACATCTTACGATCCCAAAGGAAAATTAGTATTCAGGACCTGACATTACTTACACTGAAGTCACTTGTTAACTCCCACTACTTTAAACAAGAGCTGTTTAGCAACTGCTGCCTGGTTCTGCATGTTTTTTTGATGAGGGGATACTAAAGGTACTACTAAGCTGCATAAGTTTACAGCCTTTGCATACAGCTATGGGTAATTGTTGATAACAGAGCTATAATTTGACCTAATCTGAGGTTAAAAAGAGGTATCTGCACAGCTATTGGAAAGAAATACTCTAACTTTTATATATTACTATAAAATGAATATTTGTCAATGAAGAAGCGAAAGCTTCCCTAGGAAACTTAATTTGAAATGAGACTAGAAACACATCACCAGCCAAAATCCGCTCTATCAGCACTCAAACATGCTGTCTGTTGGGTTTCAACACTCAGATCTCAAAAGCAGCTAGTAAAACTTTGAAAAATAGAAAATAGTATCGGTAACAAAAAGAACAACTTCTTTTGAAGGCCTGTTCAAAGTGCTTCAACTTAATCAATCCCTTTATTATATGATGGAAACTGGTGGACTATACTGTAGCTACTGTATAATATTTTAAACAGTAATTAAATTTTCACCTAAATGTGTGGCAACAAAGTTAGTCCAACACCATTATGCAAGCTTTTATTTATTTATTTATTTATATATTTTTAAAAAGTGTTCACAACAGTCAGTACTCTAAGTCACTCCGAAAAGAAGAAACACAACCCAGAGACACAGGAAACCCCCTCACAGCAGAACCTGTTAGCATTTAATGCAATTGTGTTTTACAAAACACGTGCAATTGAGGGCTGTGGTAGCAAATGACTTTCATAGGTGTTTACTGAGGTATTCCCTCAAGACGCATAATGAGGAACCCAACCAGCAACTTAGCTAGCTTTTTTCCAGCCATTTTGCAGCTCGCCCTACTGCAACCTTCTCTTCTAATGCTGAGATTGCCCATTTTTTCCTCCTAAGATTGCTGGCACCACCGTTTTCTCGCATGACGTGCATCTTCAGCTCACTCTAAAGCAGTCTCTTGTGTTAAACCCCGAAAAGACTGCACTAAACTTCTGGAAATTTCCGAGCACCTTTTCACTTGAGCTGTACCAGTTTCTCCAGGTAAGCTATCCTATCACCAAAGCTTTCTCATTAAAGAAAGACCAGTACAGTCATGTAATTGCTATAAATAAGAATGTTCCATCCCCATAATGTTTCCCTGATAAATAATTTCATTTTTTAAAATTTCCTTGAAAAAGCACTATTTCTGTACCTTAAGTCGATGGTTTTGCTCACCCTGTTTACCTTACCTAAAAAAGGTATTTTACCTCTGCTGCTCACTGAGGAAAGGAAAGAAAGGGACAATTTAGAAAGGGATCCAATCAGACTGATGCTTCCCAAATAATTTCAAAAATGACACTTGTCCAATGATTTCCTTAGTTTTATCTTTCTTTTTTAACTGGAAAAGTTCTATTTTATGAGTGAGCAAAGAAGAAGTAGATAGTATTTCAGAAGCCAGAAAACAAACTATATGGCTTTTTTGTTTTAACAGAAAAATATTTTTATAGCTACTGTTTTAAATCAGAGCAATAGGTAAGATGCCTCTCCAACCGGAAAAATAAGCTTGAAAGCTAGTATTAAGATAAATGTCAAGTAAGGCCTGAAAAAAAAGTGGAAATTACGAGGCAGGTAACATTTTTGATGCACCTGCTTAATTATAGAGATTTATTTAGCCATTTCCTAGCTATACATTTACATTCCAAGGTTCTTAAACAGCTTACTCCATTCTAAACAGCAGGGAAGAGCTCTGTTATTTCATTTCTTTAACTCAGAAGAAAGTGACTATACTTTTGTTTATCTCACCTCCTGTGCATCAAACCGCAGGATCTCCTTCATGTATGTGGGCAAGAGTGTAAGAAGTGTATAGAAAGTCCAATTATAAGAGAAGTGTGCCACAACAATAGCCCAGAGTGGAAGGGACTCCAGCATAGGTCTCCAGGGAACAGATTTCTGTGTAGAAAGCTAGCAAGCAGGAGGCAGAGAAAAAGGGAAGAGAAAGAGTGATCAGGACATCAACACACACATTTACTAAATATAGTATTTTGATCCTACCCAAGTCTATTGCTGACCATTCTGAAGAGCACAAAATAAGTCTCAGTAGATAGATGCAAGTCATCAGCAATAAATGAAACATTATGTTCAGTTCTCACTGAAGGTACACTCACATATGTTACTGCTCGGTTTTTGTACTACTGCAAAGTAAATGAATCACTATTATGTTTTGTAACCAGAATTTCAAAAAGTATGCCTTCCCTTGTTGAGGTTTGTTGCCTCCTGCTTTCACTATAAATGATTAAATATTTAAAGTCACCCCTCATGTTTATTTAGCTGAATACTTCCTACTCAATCCTAAATATTAACTCTGGTCTCTCAGCCAGCTTCACAGGTTGCAAATATATATGTCCAGTCACAGGAATAAACTCCTAAGCACGCTTTAGGAACTGTCCCATTAGCACTTTCAGAATGTTTTTTCCACTAACTGTAATCTCTTACTCTAGAAGACATATTGAAAAAAAGTTGCGAAATGCTGTATTGCAGAGTTTAAAGATGTTATACAGGTCTGGATATAGTGTAAAGAGAACTGACAGACTTGAGGTTTTTATTTAAAAAGCACCGCAACAACATCTGTGACAAAATGCATTACTATAAATGCTTTGTTTGCTTACTGATTGTTTCTCACTTATGCAATTGAACTATATTTTTATTTTTTTGTCTGACAAATTCTACCTCTATCTCAGATTACGAACGTTTTTCTAGACATCAGCAGAGCATGACACTAATGATAATATTTACGGTTTATGTTCTTACTTAAGCAAGTATGACTACATCAAAGCACTGTACCTGATCTTTTAGAGAAGAGAGTATATATTCTTTTTCAGCATGTGAAATGCTTCTGTGAGTTTCTGGTGTATCACTAACCAACCACATCCAGAAGAAGAACCATAATACACCAAGTGCACCTATTGGTGGGAAAAGGTGAGTGAAGAGACAGAAATAATAACATAAGCAGCTATATCGAGTGAATAACACTCTCAGACAATTTAATTAGAAGGGTTTTTTCCAAATCACAGAATCACAGAATCACAGAATCACAGAATCACAGAATCACAGAATCACAGAATCACAGAATCACAGAATCACAGAATCACAGAATCACAGAATCACAGAATCACAGAATCACAGAAT